CAAGCACAATCAGCTTTATATATATATATCCTCAAAAATCCTCAGAATACGCTTATAACGAAATAAATAGTTCAAAATTGCATTTACTGATTTTGAAACAGATTATTTAAAAACATTGTTGGCAAACATTCGTTCAAAGTTAAATGTTAATGATTATATTAATAATGATTAAACTTAAATCTGCCTTAAAACTAAAAAAAATTAAAAGTTCAAGTTACAGATTAAATATTGTACAATCCAAAACATTATCTTTGCTCCCTATCAAGATAATGGAATAAAACTTTTTTTTCATCAGTCTAATAATAAAACAGCTTTTCTTTTTCTTTCACTTTGAATCTGTTTTATTAATTTGATTCCGTTAATTAAATTAAAACTAATTTCTGTTAATCAAATTAACAGATTCTGATTCTGTTAATTTGCTTACTATCAAAATGAATATTATGAGGATCCACTACACTGTAAAATACTGCGGTAAAAAAAATACTGGCACTCAGAGTGCCGTTACTTTTTAAAGTAAAATCCATTTTTACCAGAACATGTCAAGGAACACAAAATCTGTTATACCGTAACTTTTACAGAAACAATTACCGTAAAATTCATATTAGTGAATCACTCTAGTTAAATAAATATTACTGTTATACTTACCCTAGATTATTGTATGGTAAAAATAGATTTTACTATAAAATTAATTTTACAGATGATGCATCTAAAGTACCGGTACTTTATAAAGTCATTTGACTCGGAATTGTTTTTACAGCATACAGTTAGTACTAGTTGTTGAAAGGATGAAAGAAAAGATTCAAGCTAACTGAACGCGACTGTTTAAAGAACGAGATCTGAGGAATTTCGTAAAACCGGTGAAAATAGGCGAGAGTGCTAAAAATATCTTGCTCTGTTTTTATTTGAATTAGAATATGTTCGCCTCTTTTTTATTCTATTCTTACCAACTTATATAATTTTTTTATATAAAATCCGTCTTTATTCATCATACATCATTATCTACTAGCCGCTTGGACAAAATGACGACATTTATATCAGAATTGTGTGGTCAGAACTCAGGGAAACAATTCACGAAACTGGTTGCAGAATATCATCATCAGTGTAAAAATTCTGAGAAATGGAAACCGAATCCCAGAAGTTATCACTTTAGGTATGTGGTGAACATATTAGGCACTTGTAATTTTTTTGTTTTTTTGATAGATAAACATGACTAAATTTGATATTTGGTTTTGGTATTTAGTATTGGATTGAAATTTAATTCCACCACAGTGGTTAAAATATAGCTAGGCCAGTAGTGTATAGTTCTCAGGGAGAGAGATGTGTAGCTTGCGATGTTTAGTCACATTACCAATTTAAGACAAGTCTTGGAGTCCGCCAAAAAATATAAGTAGTGACTTTAAGGTTACACTAATTGTTACTTTAAGGTATGTTTATTTCACATTAGAATAGTATAAATTCATTCAGTTATTATAGATACTTAAGAACAGCGAGGAAAGCCAATTTGGCATCATTAGCAGTAGAATCAGGTTCAATCACCTCAGCAGAATTGGCAGTTTTGCAATTGAATGCGCTAACTACGGAAACTGAAATATTTGAAGAAGAAAGTGTGGAAGACTTGCCATATACTATTATGTTTTTTTTAATTTTATAACCGGTGTTGAACAGCCGCCCCAATTCTGAGTTTACGACCATCAATGTTCAACTCCGCTGCCTTGTAATTTCAAACCCAACCCAGAAGACAAGGGAGTTCCTGAAGCATTAGGGCACACTAGCCTTCGTGGAGAACTTTTTGATGGAACTTATCCACATTTGCGGTACATGGAGAGGAGAAAATATGAAAATCTCTCTGGTTTAGCCCGACGGCAAGAGGCTTCTAACCCATAATCCATCTAACACCGAGGACATTTTACGTTAGAACTGTGGCTGGTCCGAGCCGGGAGCAGAATTTGTAACAACCAGTCGCAGCTGGCATTCGAGCAGGGTCACCTCATTAAAAGGCGAACGACGTTCTTTCCCTTGAATAATTATAAGTAAAAGACTATGAAAAGGATGCAAACGTCGTCAGATAGAAATACAAATAGAATTAAAAGTCAAATTTAAAATCGAGAACAAGCGTCAAGCACAATCAGCTTTACCCGCACAAATTGTGACGGGTCTTTACAAATATACTTACTCATTTATATGAATTGAAGCAATTAGACCATCATCTTCGTCAGGGGGATAACAGAAGGCTTGTTTGCACTCACTGTCATTGTTAGCATACCCTCCTGGTTCAATTTTACCAAACTCTTTGGTTACGCATTGACCTGAAAGTTCACGAACATATATGTAAGCGAGTTTTCTATCAATAATTCAACTAATAAAATACTGATTTATACTTTATATCTTGCCTCTGATTGATAATAAGTTTTCATACTCTATATACCATAACATATGTATAATATAGGACTGAATGAAGCATAATCACTTATGCACGGATGAAAAGGAGAATGGAGAGTAGTTAGAAAATTTACTAATGCACAAAATTAGAGATGAGTTTTTCGTCTCTGGTTGGAAAGTTTTTTTATTCTGGTGCAACCCCTTGAAAATGTTCGATTGTAGTCAATCGTTTCATTACATATATTACAATAAAAAAGATGATACTTAAAAAAAGTATCTTCTTAAAAAATTTACAAAGCGAAGAGTTATAAACTTCTCTTCTTTTCCATTAATAAAGGAGGTAAAACTTGTGCTGAGGTCTATAAATGATCAATTTTTTTGAGAAATTTGTTTTCCTTAATTTCAAAACTATAGTTTTGATCACGCCAATCCTAACAGTGCATACATTGTTAGGATTTTCATACTAAAGCTGCAGTAAATTAACCGGCAGTAGTCTGTTCATTCATTTAGCCGTAATACAGTAAAGGTAAAGAACTTTTTTTACCTTTACTGTATTGAACCGTTTGCAACAAATATGGATAAAAAAACATGAATACGAACGGTTTTTCAACTATTTACATTTTACACACTACGTTTTAAAACCATAAAAAGCAAATTTAACTGGACATGGTAGTAAGGTTTTTAGCTAGGTAATGGGCATTGGAGAAAGCAAGACTCAAATCAGAGAGAGCAGGACGCCGAGAACTCTTCAAGTCTTGATGATAACGGAGGAAATATTGTTGTGCCAACGCTGGGAATCGAACACCAGATCTGTCGGTCATGAGACTGATAGATTAGCCATCTCTGCTATATTATGTACGCAGTTACAAGGAACTGAGAGGCTGCATTCGATGGGCTTGGTTAGTGCGATAAAATCCTGGTTGTTTAACCGTATGAGATGAATGAAGGCAGTTAAAAAACGGGGTTTTTTTTCACAGTTAACAATTTGATTACCATCTCATTTATGGTTATTTGACTGTTCCTGTTCCATTTGACTGAATATGATAAAATAGCAGTTAAATAAACTGTTATTTAACCATGCTTTTCCGATATATTTCTTACAGCGTATTTAATATAATATCTAAATCTTTAGAAAAATGAAAATAAATAATTTTTAAGACCACAATTAATGAAATAAGATTTTATCAAGAACAAAATAAGAAGACTGACATATATGATTCATAATTTAATACATACCATCTTCAAACTTGACTTCTTCGTATCTACTAAAGGCACGCTCAGAAGCTCCATTTACCAAACAGATCAATCCAAAGAAAAACAGTATCATCCACTTAAGAGACATTGCTGAAATTATAAAATATTTATTTATTTGACACCAGTAACAATGTTACTCGGTTTTCAAATAAGATTTTTGTAAGGGAGGAAAAGTCTTCCTTATTTTTTTCAGAATCGTAAATGGAGTAAGAAAAAAGTTGAATAGGGAATAAAATTCTTCAATCTGTTAGTCCTTTGAAGCAGATGCGGCACCGGTGACCCTTCTATAAATTTTTCTGACGCTCTAGTTACGAGCAAAAATTTATTTTGACAATTTTTAATTATGAAAAAACAGTCTAATACTTTCTAAAATGAATTATCGTATTTATATTTGAACTGAAATAAAAGATCCAAAAAAATAGTTTGAAAAAAAAATTTTATCCACATTTAAAAATTTATCAACAATTGATTTTGTAAATTAAAGAAATTTCTGAGATAAATAACTGTTTCTCTTAGAAGTAAAGAGCTTCAATAAGTGCAAATTTGAATGAACTTGAATCAGCCAAATGCTTTCCATTCTGTTCGATGCCGTTTTGCAATCATTCTAATAACTTCACGCTCCCACGCTCATCGAACTTCTGGTCCTTATAAGCAAAAAAATCAACCAAGTGAGATTTGAGAACTTCGTTATTACAGAAATTTTCCCCATTTAAAAAGTTTTATAAACTTCAAAGTAAATGCAATGGTGTCAGATCAAGCATATATGGAAGATCACTAATCGTAAAGGAATCGTGTTCTACCACAACAATGCCGCTCCTCACACACTGGCAATATTGTCGAAGCTTAGTAGGGAAGTGATGCCACATTCCGCATATATTCATTTCTCCATTGGATTATCACTTATATCGAAGTTTTAAATAGTAAAAATTTCGGCAATAATGATGACCTAAAGGAAGCTTGCTGATAAAGACCTAAAGTTCAATTAGCGCAGAATCGTGGAGTTTCTAGAAAGTTGGAAATAGGGTATCGAACTGAATGGAAGATATTTGACTGATTGAAATTGATTTTTTGTATAGTAGAAATTTGGTTTTATTTCACACTGAAAAGCCGAAAGTAACTTTTCTTCCAATCCAATGTTCAGTTGTCACAAAATTATATCATGGAAAATTTTGCTTCAATGATTTTATTACAACTTTTACTCACCGTCGTTGAGCAGCTCCAATTTTTAGTTTATGACTACTGATGTTCAACTCCACAGTCTCATAGTTTTGAACCCAATACGGAAGACAAAGGAACTCCTGGATCAAGTATTGGGAGTAATTTGAAAACGGTGAGATCTTTTTGATGGAACAAAAAGATCTTAGCGCAGCTTTACATGGTGAGGAAAACCTCAAAAACCACCCACGGTTGGCTAGATGGCAAGGAGACTCTAACCCATGATCCGTCTACCACCGAACGATATTTTACGTCAGCACTGTAGTCGGTGCAAGCCGGATGGTCAAGGGTCCTTTAGCTCGCGATTTGTGACATTCCATCATTTAATCTTCACTTAGCACAGTTTAACATTTCTCAGACTAAAGCAGACAGAACTTCATTTAACGCACCCGAGTTTCTTTAAATTGGAAATGGTAAAAAAAAATTTAATTTGAAACATAGTAAAAGTTGGATAAGTATAAAATGTGTGGAGTTGAATCTGAAAAAGTTGGTGTATCTGAATCTGAAAATAAGTAAAAGTTTGCTGAATGAAACTTGAAGGGTGAAATTGAAACTAAACATTGGTAAAAGTTCGTTACATTAGTAATAATACATTACAAAACATTATTAATAATAAATTGAAAAAATAGTAAAAGTTGGTGTGATTTTAAAGAATAGTAAACTTTTATGAAGCTGAAAATAAATGGAGATGTAGAATTCTAGCTCGTTTTACATTTATACTAATCCACTTAAAATTCTAGCAACATTCTATTTTTAAGGATGAACATTTAAAAATAAATTCAATTTTCTTATTACAGAGATTTTTTCACAAAAGCTTTAAAAAGTATGAAGATTCTGTTTTATAAAAAATATAAAAAGCAACTGCTACTTACTTTTGATAATGTTTAGCGATGCCTGGAAGCTAAAAGAATTATGTGTCAAATAAGTATTATTTTTCTCTGTGTCTCAGTGTCTCTCTCAATGTGTATCAATGTGTCTCTCTCGGTTAAAATTTATGACAGTGACGATAAAATAAATATTTGCACCACAAATAATATAAATTTGTTTGAAGTATCTAAACTATGATAACTTTTATTTATTTCTATTCCATTCTGTATTGAAAAAAAGAGAAAATATCTTGACAGAAATTGGAAAAGAATATCACTTCAGAATGTTTTACATCAGTAAAATTTATATGAGAAAAATATTTTTAAGAGTTAATTCTGCAAACCCATCCTCCATTCAACCTAATAAATCAGCTTCAATCTTCAGCTTCTCAGTAGAAATCAGCTTGTGATTAATGAAATTTAAAAAAAGAAATTTGTACTTTTAAATTTTTAACTTCTTAAAAGCTCTACGGCGTAATATGCTTTAATTTTAAATATTTTCATTTTATGCTACATAGTTTAAAATTATTGTTTCCACCATAATTAAATTAAATTACAAAAAGAAAAAACGAAAAAAATATTTTTGCCATAGCATTAATTCTGAGCTAAATATGCAAAAAATGTGATAAGAATAAAGAATCCAAAGCGAATCTAAACTTTTAACGATTGTCTTAACTAAATTATTTCGACGCTATTTTCCAGGTTGTGACCGTATTTTGAGAATCAAGAAACCGAGTTTGGCAAAAAAAGATACATTTATTTACGAACAGTAAGTTTTTATGTCTGGTTATGTAATTTAAATATCATCTGCATTAGTCAATGAGCATATTTACGATCAATTTCTTGAACCATTAAAATTGTTTGTTAAAAATCTGATCACAATATTAAAAGTTGATCAGGCAAATCTTTCTTCCTATTTTATATTTTTTTTATTTTATTTATTTTTGCGTATTGTATTTTACTTGCAATATTAAACGAAACTTACTGTACGAGCGTAGTTTTCAGATTTATGACACATAACGCATGAGATAAAATGAAACTACGAAAGTTGATAAAATAAAACTATAAAGATTAATTCTATAAGAATTTTATGTGTAAGAATTTTTTCCTAATATAAGAAAAAGAACATTTTTATGACATTGGTATCACATAAAATCACTGTTTTTATAAAGCCTTTTATTTGTTGATACAAACTTTTATTGGAACATATGAACAACAGTAATATTTTCAGAATCTTTTTAATGCAATTTAAGCTTATCTTCTGTATATAAACCCTTTTATCATTAACAAAAAAATAGAAAGTTATAAATTACTCTGAGAGATAATATTTTTTATATTACTATTTTATGCTACAAAAAGTTAGATTGATTTCCCCTAAAAGTTATTGACATAATCAGTTGATCAAATAAAATATTGTTCTAATAACATTTTTCTGGAAATGTCAACAACCTAGTTAATCAAAAAACTATTTTTTATTGTATGTTTTTTTGTTTCCTTTAGTAATTTCAGCTATTTGCTAACTTTTCAGTATCTTAAATTATCCAATATTTTATTTAATCAAGTGATTATTTCACATTTTTGAACATTGTTTTATCGTATTTATTTATTAAATATACTGAGTAATATTTTTCTTTCTTCTTTAATTCAATTCTTTTTTATCGGCTTTATTTTATTAAATAGTGAAGTTCTGTTCTTGAAAGAAAAAAAAAGTTCTTCTTCAAGCATATTTTATTTCATTTATCAGCTAATAGCCGTTTCACATACTGGCTTTACGAAGTTAATTTATTCGCATTTGCTGTCAAATGGTTTCGAATCACTATGTTTATCTTTTAATACAATTATAAATTATATTTTTGGGTTATTATATGCATATGTTATACGTAAATGTTTTTCCGTATACATCTTCCCAAAGTAAAGCACAGCCACATCAGCCCATTGTGTACCAGGGTGTTAATAGAGATTAAGTTTCTGCAATTTTGAGACCAACAAAATTTATAGTTAATATAATTAGCATTACTGCCAGACCTCCATTTCTTCCCAGACAAGTTGGTACTCATCGTACTGAAGCTTGGTGGGCTTTAATCCCCCACCAGAGATCGAACCCCAGTTCTCCACAATCGCAGCTCAATGTCTTACCACTGAGTCATCACAGCTCACATATTCACCAAAACACTTCAAAATGCAGCGCTATGATAAGTCACGTTTTCAACGTGTTTAGGAAAGCTTTTTTGATGAAATGCACCACAGTTCCCAAACTCACCATCAAACTAGGCCCAATTTTTCAGGACCTCTTTCTTTTTTTGACCATGCTGGAAACGCAACGTAATTTTGTCTCGATTCGATGAAGTGGACAGCACCCGAGCTGATGTCCTTCTAAATTGGTAACAAAAACAGTAACTATAAAAATTAATTTTAAAAATAAAAACATAATTAATGCATCACATACTTGAAATACTTATACGTAAGTACTTTATTTTATTTAATAAGAGAGTGCTATTGATAATATATATATTTTTAAATATTTATCTTACAAGTAGATATATAAAAAAAGGGAGAAATTACTACCCATATTGAAAATATTGTGTATTTGTTCAATGCGATGAGTTCGTTCTTCATTGCATAACTTTTTAAGAAGAGGGATAAAGCTTGCTACAAGCATTTTTTTTCGACATTTATTTTTGAGTGATAATTATTATTAGTAAAAAACTACAGGTAATAAAATAAGTTGAAAGTGTGGAAATGTTTTAATGCTGCTGAATTGTTAAAGTTTTACAGAAATTTAATAGACAAGCACTTAATCAGAACTAACTTCCGTTTAACAAGTTTTTGTAACAATTTACAACAATTTACTAGTCAATTTAAGTATAACGAAATGTAACACATGTTTATTCTGCATTAGACTGTTTTCAGTTCATCATAGTCAATTTTTTCGAATTTTATAAATATTTATCAAATTTCCCGACATTCTTCGATAAATCTAGGAAGACCAAAACTTGTGAACATTTTTAATTTTTCTAAAAATCTTAAGACAAT